TCTTTCTGTAAAGTTAAGGCATTGATATTTATCATAAAATTATTTCACGATACTTCGCAAATTAGAAATGAGTTTTGGGTATTAAAAATTTCGAATTTCCGAGGTTTACTTCTAATTTGCGGGGGTTTTCTGGTTTTTTATAGCAATTTTTGATAGAATTGTAAGAAACTCAGAAATTAGAAAACAAGTTTTAAACACTTTCGCATCAAAATTTGCAGTTCAACTCTAGAAAAATGGGTAATAATGTCGTTTCGAATAACCGCCGTGATCAGCTGAAAGCAAACTTGGACAATTTGAGAAACATGGTAGCTAAAATACTGGAGTCATATACTAACTCACTGCAATCGTATAGCAATGCGATGCACAAAGCTCTGAACGAAGTTGCCTATTTTAGTCATGGCGATTTTATAAACCTTCACCAACGCTCAAAGAACGCAGTCATTGCACAGGTTTTTACATAGTTTGAATTTTTTTACCTTTATACATAATATTATTGTATTCACAGTTTCAATCCCGAGTCGGTGACAATGAGTTCAAAGCTGTGATCCAGAGGATAATCGAAACTAACATTGAACAGAAAAAACAGCCATTTGAAGGAACAAATGAAGCAAAACGTCGAGATTTTCTTGTAAGTGTGCAAAAACATTTGTCACAGATAGCATTAGCAACTCATTGAATGTTGATGAATCAGAATTTAGCTTATTTGTAACCGAATTATTGAATCTAAAAAACTCCATTTTCCAATGTAGAAAAGAGCCAATTTGCACAGTGAAGCGGTGAGCCGAGAACTGAAAGCGGCATTTGAGAACAGAGTACGAGGTGAAATTGGCAGATCATTTTTGAGCGACGATCGCTTCTTCAATTTGTTCTCAAGTACAAAACAGAACATTTTAGAGCAGGTTTGATTCAATCTTTTTGGCCATTGACTTTTTATTGCGTTTCACAATTTTAATAATCATTTCGTATTTGTGTGTGTTTAGTTTGCTTCCAGGAAAATGGGCGAAAATGAATTGTCCAATCAGACTTATCAACATTTCCGTGTTCAACTTGAACGAGATATAGACAGTTTGCAATATACTTTGAAGAAGCTGAATGACGCAAAGAAGCCATTGCCACAAGAACCATATAAACCAAGTAGATGGGTCATATTCCGCGACTCCATTTTTGGCTAGAAATTTTCATAAACTTATCATGTATGCGAATACAGCTGAAATAAAGTAAAATCAAATTGCAAGCATCCATTTTTGTGTGTAGATTTATTCCTGATATTGAACAGTAGCTAACGAAATAAAATCTGGGTGCCACTCCAAAGTCATTATTACTACATAAAAATTGTCATACATGGTGCCTCAAATGCGAAGTCCGTTTTATTTTTGTCATCATAAGTAACTTCTTTCAATGAACAACAGTTTCCAACTAACCACAAACTATCCCTAAAAATGTGTATGTTACCTATTAATTTTAATAAATACACTTTAAACAATAAACTGTATTTTCAACTTGGGAACTCATGGAAGTTCCAAGAAAATTATTTCTTAAAGGAAGATTTCGGCGCCGAATTGATAAATAAAATTTGGTTGTTTTTACAGATTACACATTCCAACGCGTGTTTTTTTTTGGCTTGGCACAAGAGCCGGACTGGTATCATGCTATAGTTGAGGTCGCCCTGAGTTCAGAATGGCCCATAGTTTTGCATTCTGTGCTCATTGGGGAAATGTTATCGCCTTGGGCGTTTCTTCGTTCCAGAAGGAACGAATTTCATTATGTGACTCTATTTTTCATGTTTTTCCCGTTTTTTCACGTCTATGACAACTTAGAAACGATTTATCTCGATTTTAAAGCCAACAAATCCAACCAGAACAAAGCATTTGTCTTCAAAACTTCGAAAAATTGGACCAAAATCGAAAAATTACATCTGGCTATTAAATCTCATTTATATCATACCTAGCATAGATTTATGTACTTTATACTAGCTCAAAAATGTGCGGTAGCCGATTTTAGATGGACACAACGGACATCAAAATCATTTTATAAATGTATTGTAACTTTCGTGATTTTTGTTGGCATTTTTTGCTCAAACGTCTTAGCCGAAGAGCAAATTACAGAGCACGCAATCCAAATCATGGTCCCTGTTAACCACTTGATGCAGCTGAGAATCGGCAAACTCAAACAAATTCTGGAGGTTGACGACATCAAAGATCGGCATTTCGTCGTCGTTTCGATCGCTGGTGCATTTCGACAAGGCAAGAGTTTTTTGATGAATTTTTCCATTAAATATCTCAATGCGCAGGTAAAGCTTTAATTATTAATAGCTCTTCTTAAAATTTTCATGTAAAACTGTGCCATTTTTTGAAAATGTTCCTTTGAATATCTTGTTCGTTCCTGTAATAAGAAACGTTGATTTTTCGAATTATATTTGCGACAGTACAAAAAACACAATGTGTCCGATTGGATCGGTGAAACCACAAACAACAGCCGACTGAATGGGTTCGAATGGATAGGTGGTCGAAAGCGTAAAACAGTTGGTATCTGGATGTGGTCGGAGATATTTACCCATGACTTTTCAAACGGAGATAAAGTCGCAATCCTTCTGTTCGATACACAAGGCATTTTCGATGACCGAAGTAGTGTGCGTGATTGTACTGCAATATTCGCACTCAGCATGATGTTGTCGTCCGTTCAGTGCTATAATTTGATGAGAAATGTCCGCGAAGATGACCTACAACACTTGTAATTGTTTACTGAATATAGAAGTCAGTCACAGGAAAAACCGTTCCAAAAACTGCTCTTCATCGTACGAGATTGGGAATTTCCAGATGATACGCCTTATGGGAATGGACAAAAATTGGTAGACAATATCATTGCCGGAAACGATGAACAGACACCTGAAATGCTAGACTTAAGGAGAAAAATTATTTGGTGCATACCTAATGGCGGATCAAGGGAATATAATAAAATATAGTTCACAAAACTTCACTGGTGATCTGCGGCAAATTAAATTCAAAATCAATTGGTGCATACCTAATGGCGGATCAAGGGAATATAATAAAATATAGTTCACAAAACTTCACTGGTGATCTGGGGCAAATTACTACAGATTTTGTGACGTGTGTGAAGGAATTGGCACCATTACTTTTCGCTCCAGAGAATCTTATCATTAAGCAAATCAACGGCCATGAAGTTCGAGCTCGAGAAGTTTCACAGTATTTACAAGCTTACGCGAATGTCTTCAATGGAAACAAATTACCTGAACCAAAAACCGTATTGATGGTAGGTTTTACTCAATAAAATAGAGAAAACATTTGGAAAATACTTTGAATATCTTTTTTGTTCGAAACAGGCGACTGCCGAAGCTAGCAATATGATTCTATGTGATGAATCCCTTCGTCATTACAGTGATACAATGGAAAAAACGCTCGAAAAAATCGATTCATACATGAAAGAAAATGAATTAACAGAGCTTCATAGGAAAATGAAGAACAACACATTAGGAACAGGTTAGGATTTGAATGCTCTGGAAGCAATATTTTTATGTGATAATCTTAACTTGAGTGAAAAAAATGGTTCTAACGTTTGAATATACTTTTTAAAAAGTTTTTAGAGAAACCGTCGCTTGGCGGCGATAAACTTCGAACCACTTTCCTAGATAAACTTAAAAACGGCACCGACCATCGATTCCTTTCAATCAAAGCACAAAATGAGAAAAACCGCAAGAGCTTCATAGTAAGTATTCGGTTAAGTTCATATCCTAAGACTTTTCTAAGTCAATGAAGACCAAAACAAATTGATTTTAAACTTTAGCAGTTTTCATTATAATGAAAATTATTATTATGTAGTCAATTCAAAGTTATTGTGACGTTGTTCTAGGAGAAAGCCAATTTACATAATGAGAAAATTAGTGTTGATACAGTTGGAACGGTCAAGAGGCGAATTTTAGACGAAGTCGAAAGAACGGATTCTGAACTCAGCTATTCGCAGTTGAACGATGTATACCAATTGGCGAAGCAAGGCGCTCTGGCAGATGTAAGTAAACTAATTTGATTTGGTTGATAAACGTGAATTACGTTTCTTTGAAGTTTAACTTCAAAAGTGAATAACAATTTTAATTGTTTAAATTTAAAAATGATTTAAACCATTTTGGACACCAATTTTTAGTTCGCCTCTAGAAAAATGGGTGATGATTAGGATGTATACCCAAACTGCCGCCGACTTCAGATTTCAGGGTTGAGATATGTTTATATCTGTTGTATTTTGGGTGTCCTACAGTGTCCCAAAGTCGAATACGATGTGTACCAGTTTGGTTTCCTCGTAATTTGAGGTTCAATTTTTGAGCCATTCCAATTTACCGCACATATGGAATAAAACGACACCCGTTGCTTCTGTTAGGCATCCCATGGTTTATAATAATTGTCCCTGAAGTGTTCTTAAAGAAAAAGACTTCCAGACTTGAAAAATCTTGACCGGAAGTCAGTAAAAAGCAATTCTTAAAAGTTTAAAGTTGACATAAAATGGTAAAATTTTTAAAATGATGATAAATGGTGCTACGTATGGTTTTAGGTAAGTAGAGTCGCTTTTATGGAAGGTTCACCTTAAGGACAGATTATTTATTCCATCTGCGTGTCAATTCCAAGA